AGATAGGCTAAACCTATGCGTTGAAGCTGGGATATTGAAAACGATGGTGGCAGCAGGATGCAGGAGCTGCCTGATGTACGTGATGCTTTCGAACTCCCATCCCTGCTGTCCAAGATGTGGCAATGCGGACGCGACACTCCTTGAGGTTCCAGGCCCCCAATTCAAGAAGCAACGCACGACGACGTTCGACTATATCAGTCTTAGATGGAGTTGATGCACCGCTTGAAACCCCGCCATTGAATCTCAACGCTAGCTTCCTTATAAAGACTCATCTATCAGCACACTGTCTTCTTTGAGCTGCTTACTCTGAGCCTGTTTGAGATCATCTTTCTGCCGAATGAACTCATTTTTTCTATAACACTCAGCGGCACATGCAGAACGAGATCGTGACAACTCATTGAATAGACCTACAAGTTCCCAATCTTTCTCTAACGCTATCAATTCTACGGTGCGGGATGATGACCTGCAGTTCGGGACTTATATCAACTGTCGCCTAAAGCAGCTAAACAAGTAATGAGCCTAGTTATCAATCAATTCTAGTTATTTCATCTCACAAGAGATGTTGTCCGCCGCCATCTATTAGGTTCTTCAATTGTGTAGATGAGCAGCTATATTCACTTACTGAACTGTGTAGTGGTGTGGATCCTCAAAAAAATTGCATCAGTAATCAGGGGAGACAAATTAAACATCCCCAAGAAGCTTGTTCTAGGGACATTCTTTTTTATTGGACCTTAAGTGGAGGTAAACCACATAACTATCACTCCTAAAGAGTATGATATCAGTTATATTTGAGGTTTTGGTCCCTATCTTAATGTCCTGCATGTAACTTTGTAAAACTCTGCACTGATAATTACTTTTCACAATCTGTATCCAGCATGCCACAACTTACAGTACAGTTCATTAGTGTCTTGCAAATTAAGAACACAATTTTAATCTTTTTTCTGGCCTCTTGACGATCAATCTGACAGGACAAGTTTCTTTGCTACTATGCTACATACTTGCTAAAAACTTGCGAAATGTAGCAATCCGGGAGCATTGATGAACTTGATAATACACCAAATCTGTTTCAGCTCCAACTCATCAGAGAGAATTGAAATTGGATGGAGTAATAGTCAGTAGATGTTGCTTGAATAAGCAATCCATTGCTCATCAATTCAACTATGTTCTGACATAGTGGTTGGTTATGAGTAGTCTCGGAGCTTAAGTTAGTCCTTCACTTTGAGACATCACAGATGACCAGCCATCAATACAAAAAAAACTATGCTAGTCACTGTGTTGTTCCCATTTCTAAAGTGACACATTGCAGAGTATTTAATAACAAATTGACCTGAGCTTAGGTATATTCTAAATTACTATCTCCCATATTACTTCTCTATTATTAGTATTTTTTAAAATAATAATAACGAAATTAATAACTTTCTCATGACTAATATTCATGATAATACAATGGAGTTGAAACTTTGAGAGCATGATTAGATATCAGCATGCATCCTAATTAGTGAAAAATTAACTTAAATATTTGTGTTAAGGTTTTTTTTGGTACAATGCCCTCTACATTATTTACATGCACCAATTTTGTCCAACAAATCATAGAACATGAGAATTTCTATTCTTTTGTATGTATATTTCTTAAACATGTAAAGCTATCATGAGAAGACATTAAGGATGTTTATTTTTTATTGAAATTATAGATCTAAGCAGCACCAGGTTGATATATTTTTTAACATCCATTTAGATCCTCATGTATAGTTGCTTGGTACTTATTTGCAATGGCCTAAATATCCACTAATGTAAGGAGCCTTGCTCTTTATGTAGCAATGTTTGAAAGTTTAAAAGGACTAGAGATTATATGAAGTTATATTTAGCTTATTGGAACAAAAGGCTTCATTCACAAACATCTTTCCATCTAGGTCTTCAATCTCTAAGAATATTCTATTTGAATTGATTATATGATCACTTTTACAACTAAATTAATATGTTGCGTAAGTGTCATGTTGTTTAGATAGTTTACAAGAAGCTATTAATATTGTACCAAAGAGTTATCATTAAAATGTATATTTATTATAGGAGATTTTAAACATGGTCTTTTTGGATGATATTTCATATGTGATGCAAGGTCAAAATATCACTTTTATTTCACCAAATCACTCATCTCACAAGGTAGATGATTTTGAAATCATAATATCAAAAGTAAAATGGTTCAAGTATAGAAAATACCAATGCTTGTATCAACTCTCTTCTCTCTTTGATTCTATATTAAAGAGTAATAAAGTTTGAATGGTGATATTTTGGATTTGATATTTTAGATTTGATATTTTTAATGATCCTAGAAATATTAGGTATTGAATCTCAATTATTTGGTTTTGTAAAAGTACCATATTTGAAATTACTTAATATAAATAATTGACTAGAAAAGTCATTTGTTGTTTGGAAGGATCCATGTTATAGCAAATATTAGAAATATTGATCTTCACGCATAAGATTGTCTAAGAATTTGACCAAATTAAATATCATATATTAGATTTTAAATAAGAGATATACTATAAGAAAAATTAGAGATAAACATTTTTATGTTTTTGAACAACAATTGTGCTTCAAAACAAAATTCCAAAAGATAATGAATCTATAATATAGATTGAATACTTAATCTCATCAATAATAATAAAAATCTGTGTCAATAACATCTTTTGGTGTAAACCTTATTATTGAATAAGAAATAATATTGGAATATGCTATTATATTTCACAACCAAAATTGATAAACAAGAGCAATCTTTGTTGTTAATATTTGTTTGTAATATATGATTAGATATTTGAAAGCAAGTTTGTACACAAAAAATAAAAGAAAGATGGATTCTTTATCGACTTGTTCATAATGTGATTGCCATTGTTACATGAAATCTTGGCAAAGGTGAGTCTAGTGAATAGTTGGTAGATCATCAAATCCTACACCTACTAGAAGATCTAAATGCACTAGCTAGAATTAGAATTAGTGAATAGATTTTAGATAAATGCTTACAAGTTGTAACATATATTATAAGTATGATCTTGACATATATAAAATTATAATTACCATCTTTATCAAAGCATATGATATACTAGAAAAATGATAGTTGATATTTTGAAGAATTTTTTATATCTATTTTTAAAAATAATTATTAATAAAGCCAAATCTACTAGATAGTTTTTTTCTTTAAACCTTACATTTAAATATTTAAGTAAAATTTTAAGTATAAAAAGATGTAAAAATGAAAGAAAATTTATTTTAAAAAAATCCATTTGCTTTTCATAAAGAATTTTTAGTATTATATTTTCTATTTGAAGTAACTTATAATAAATTATCGTTTATTTTTATTTTTTACAATATTCAAAATAATAAAATACAAATCTATGTTGTTTGTATTCAAATAAATGTATTCAAATGAAAATCAATATTTTTAAATCAATTACTAACTTTTATAAAACTATTCAAAGACTTAATTTTATACAAATATTTTCTTATGTATTATCATTTGCATAATTATTTATAGGTAAAAAATAAAACTTTGAAAAAAAAAACTATTCTTAGATTTTACTAAGTAAATGTATATTGAAATAC